TGAATCTTTCCCCAGGAGGATGACCAGTTGCAATGGCGGGTTGTTGACCAGAGGAAGGTAGTTGATGCAAATCCAGGAGGAATGGATGGCGGGGTGGGTGCTGCCAGTGGACAGCTTTGGCGAGACAAAGTCAAAGCGCAAACGATTAGGACCGGGAACTAGATGAACAAGGACTTTAAAATGCGATGCCGTGACTGGCCAGCAGGTCGACGGGAAATTATCTTGGTGGTGGTAGACAGTGACGTTTCCGTCCAGCGGATGTTGCCTTGGGTCGCCGATTTGACCATACACGAGTAGTACTTTCTGGTTGACCTGCATGACAGTCAGACACTCGATTCCATTTCACTAGAGAAAATTATGCGCCCCCAATTCCTGTGCCGGCAGGCAAACATACCCATGAATTATCAGCCACAGACACTAGTCTTGGGGCGTAAGGCGAGACGGGAGCTTGTGATCGGTACACGCCATTGACTGAGGACGAGCTGCTACCCTATATCCCGAAGCGATCACAAGTCAGTATTGTCAGTTGTCGCGTGAATGAAGTACCGGCACATACAATAACGCTGTTTCTCTGAGAACTCGCCACCAGAGGCCCCGGTCGCTGAGTAGGCGGGGCTACACTGACTGCGCTGGTGGTTTCGGATTCATTGAGCGCAGGAAGACTGGGGGTTGAAATGGTTGGTTTGATCGATGACGGTGGAGTGATTGAGTTATGGGAGGAAGTGTCGATCGTGGATGATGAGTTCCCGGAGACCTCCTCCACACTATGGGATGGAGTCTTATGAAAAGTAGCCTTTGATCGACGCCGTAGGTCTTTGAAAAACGGCATGGCGAAGTTGAGAGAAGAGAAAAAGTCGAAGCTTCCCTGATGTTTTTTTTAAAGGCGGGTAAATTGTCAGGAACAGGGTAACCGTTTGCGGTTGACGACAAGTCGCCCCGCAAGTCACCAAATAGGGGGAGGGGAAAGGGGAATGGTTAATCTGGGTTTATAGAAGTGCACATGTGGTTAAAGAAAGAAGAAAAAGATCAGGGATCAGGGATTCTCCTTAGCTTCAAAATAATTATAATAAGGAGCTACTATACTTAGAGCACTTTTTAAAAAAAAAGCTCTAAAGGGCATTACGTACCCTCAATCTTCGCCTAACCTTCGCTATTATTCTGTTATCGGCTCAGCTCAAACTCTTTTAAGTCGCAATGTTTCAGAGTGGATCGGATCGCACTAATATCCTTAGCTTAGATCTTGTCTGAGAGCTCACATACCCGGCTATGGCCACCTGGGCACACCGGGAGGCCTATTATTCAATGTTTCAGGGTAAACCTCCTGTTATGCTACATTTTTGGGAAATGATTGGAGTTACGTAGGCTCGTGTTAAAACCTCCTCGAGGGGGCCAAGCGGCCAAGATTATTAGAAACTTGAAACACGGTCTCTAACAGGACTGCATAGATGGCTAGATACAGCCTCACGGCCCAAAGAAGAATTGATCTATTTCCTTATTATTTCTTTCCCATCTCACCATGTGGGCATCTAGAATGCTTATTTTCTCTCATTTCTCCCATTTTTTTTCCTATTTTTCCTATTTGTTCTGTCTGTTCTGTTTCTTGCCGGATTTGATACTTCATACACCTAATCTATACTGCTTTCGGCGATCTAGAGCATACCTCAGGGGAAGGACCTCATTCTCCAGTCCAAGTGGATCGGAATCTGTGGCTGCATGCCTGGTTTCTATGGGGATTCCGGAATAGAAAAAGAAAACATTTTTCTTCTTTGAGAATAAAGAGCTTTAGACTAGACTGTACAGAGTTTAGTAAGTAGATGGGAATTCAAGAGGGTAAATACATGTGGATAGATCGGGTTTCAAAACAGTTGTATCAAAAAATAATGAAATAATGAAACTAGATAGGGGGTACTGAGTTGAACTATATAATAGTTGCTAAGTACTCTAAGTACTCCAAGTACTATAACTATACCGTACCCCGTGTAGAATTCAAGTAGAATGGTTACATAGTAGATCTGGAAGAAAAGTAGACAAGAAGAATTTAGAAAAAATTAAAGACATATTCATATTCTTCCCCTGTATCTTCTGTTTGACATTTTCAACGAATAAGAAGTTTCTTTCTTTCAATCCCAATCTGTTCAAGTGCTTCTCCAGAATCGTTCTCCGAGTTCCCGCATTTCGCCAATCTCTCGCCCTTCCCTTTCGCCCTTGCTCCCCCCCCCAAAACCCCAACCTCGACTCTACATTCGAAAACGTCTTTCCTTTTTTTTTTTTTTTGCGTAGGGTTTGTCTTGCTTGTTTCATTGGGTTCCTGTTACAATGCCTCCATCACAGCCTGGTTCGGCAGAAAAAACCATCCGCAAAATCGATATCGCCCAGGTAAGAGATGGAAAAAAAAAAAAAATAGAGGCTGCGGATCCCTTGAGATGCAGCCTTGGCTATTGGTTCAAATACTTGCTACTGCATCCGAATGCTTCTAGATGATATTGTTGGTGATGTGGGACTGACCCTGGATTCTCTTCGCACAGGTTTCTCTCAGTCTGCAGGATCGATTGGGCCTTGCCAAACTCAAGTACCAACACGGTCGACTGCACGGTCTAAACCCGAGCCAGCAGGATGGCAGACCCGCTCTTGAGAGTGACAAGCCTTCCGACTCTTCGTCCGAGTTCTCACGCAGTCGTTGCGAGACTCCTTTCACCTCCCCTCCTCTCCAAGCCTCCACTTACTCCAAGGAGCTCCCTCGATCCGCCCGCAATAAACATGCCGCCACCTTCAACTCTCGAGTCATGCAGCCTATGCTGTCTGCCAGTCGAAAGCGCCTACGGTCTGACTCCGATTCCGAACGTCCTGCCAAGGCACCTCGGGTCTCGTGGAAGAGTTCTTACCGGCTGCCGGAATCCTCCCCTGGCATGAACCGACACCGTACGAGCCGACGCACACAAGCCCCCTTCATGTCCGAGGCTACAATCCCGGAGATGTCATCGCCTGTATATCCTGGACCGCCAGAAGAGATCGATCCCGATTTGCCGTTGCACAGTTTCCAGAACATGAGCTCGATCGTAGGCTCCTCTCCTCCACGAACCCCTCCTCCGAAACATATGCGATTGCCCCGAAACAACCAACCTCAGAACCACGAGGATGGTGCAGATTTGCTTTTGTACCTCGCCAACTCCCCGACCCCGGCTCGGGTTGCAAGGGGCAACGGAAACCAGGCCTTCCCACCTTCCACTCCGCCCAGCCAGCACGCAGTACTGCCCGGCATGACACCCACCATGGGTGGTGGCATGTTCGCCAACATCAGCACACCTAATCAGCAATTTAATTTCGCTGATTTCGTGAATGTGACCCCTAGCCCGGCGCAACCAACTTGGGGTGGCCGCACCCCGGGCAATCCCGGTCGCACCCCGCTTACTAGCAACAGAAAGCGATTGAACTTCGATGCCCTGGTTCCTCCAAGCAACACCAGCCCTCGACTTCGTGGCAAGGAAACAGGGCTGGCGTTACAACTCGGCGGCGAACTGCACCCATGAAACCCAATGTTTCTCTCTCCATTTTCTCTTCTCTGTTAATTTTTGCCTTAACTCCCTCTTAAAACCCCATTCACGACTTTCTTATGATCATGTTATGTACACATTGTGTTCATCCCCTATGTAATTTGCCCTCTTTCTCCGGTGTGGAGGCTCGCTTTTTCGAGGACCTGAGCCTCGATTGGGAGGGACTCTACCCAGACTTGCATCCGCAGGCGTTGTTTCCTTTTATATCTCTAAATGCTTTACTATCATGTCTTGCATTACCTCTCATTCATCAAGACCGTATGTCTTGTATTTTCTATGTCATCGTTTGCCCTTGGCAATTTCACTGTTTACTCCTATTTCTTTCTTTTTCTCTTCCCCTTGCCAGCATGCCTTTGATGAGACTGTTTAATATTTTTGTATGACCCCTATCTTGATATAAGGAGATGGAAGATGAAATGGAATATGTTCATTGAGAACATACGTGTATCTCAGCACAGCCTACGAAAACCACATATTTCACCTAGCTAGCTTGTTTTTATTACGCCTGGCCTAGAACGCCCCAGGGGCCCCAGTCCACTAGGTATACCTATCTTACTTGTACATAGGGAGACATAGCCTAGGATGAATCTCTGATTAGCTTATTGAAAATAAGTTGTTTCCCTTGGACCACGTAGTCAACCCCTCATCTTCACGTCCAATCCGGTCGCGTCTTTTCGCGTCACTTTCGCGTTGCAGTTTAAGAGGCTTTTCGGCAGCCAATCAGAGACGATGAGATTGAAAGTCAAATGTGATGTCATATAAGGCCTATTTGGCTTGTATTCTGCCACTAGCATATAGGTGTAGAATAAAGGACGTTAGACCAAATAGAAAGTACAGAGTTGCAGATATCCTGATCTACACGGGGCCATGTCAACATGAGATATTCTGAAGTGAAAACGCAGAGTAGTTCACACTCAGAAATCAAGGAGCCCAAAATCCGGGTTTGTGCCTCAATAATACTCGTTTGAATTCATAGTAAACACCTAGTATATCCTCTATCTTGTATCCTCTGCTGTCCTTTCCCTCTATCTCGTCGTTCAGTATAGTTTCTCGCTTACTGTCATGCTTAACTTGAAGCTAATAGAAATAATGCTGGGCGCAAGTAAGAGTAACAGATGACCGAAGGAGAACACCACACATACAAAATATTCCGGATATATGAACTAGTATGAAAATTAATAGAGGGGGATGTTGGGCCGCATGTGGCATGCATCTATAGAGTACTATATGATAGATAGGATATAAGATTTTTCTTGTCCTTCTCTTCGGCTCCTTTTTTCAAGAGATTCTTTTACTAGATATAAGCATTTATAACTCTTAGGGCCACGATAAACATTCTGTATTGGAAAACCCAGAAAGTAGAAATAGAGCAGAAGTATACAGAGGGTAGATTCAACCTTAAGCCTCGCGTGATTTTCTCTTCCGCTCGTTCTCAACAACATGCTCTCTTCATTCAACACCGTTCGCCTTTTGCGTCTCTGACACAATTCGTAAAACAACGTCAAGCAACTCTTCCGTAAGCTTCGCTAGCTTTGCTGGCGCAGTTGGTTGAGAACCAATTTCCTCCCATTTGCGCTTCCGCTCCTGTTGTTTCTCGACAGAAAACACCGGGCGCTCTCCGAAACAATCGCCGCCCTTCTCCTTCTCACAATAATTCACGTGATTCTCAACGTATTGAGATAACTTTTGCCTCGGCCGAGGCGTACCAATGTGCAACGATTCACACTCGTTGCCTTCCACAGGGAGAACGTTCCGCGCATACTTGAACGACCAGTTTGGTTGTCTACCAAAGTTCAACAGAACATGGTAATGAATACCTTCGGTTTTATGACTTTCGCGACAACCATAGTATGTCGCCATGGGCAAATCGTTCCGTTTTAGCATTTCGCCAAAACCCTCTTCGAACTCATCTTTCGATTCGATGGAACACTGCGAGTAGGTCAAGAAGACCCACTGGTGACGCAGACGAGCTTCAGTATCAACTGAAGACAAAGAAGTACTGCTTGCACTTCGTGAGAAAACAGAAGGCGTCTCCGACGCTTCCAAGCTTACTCTAAATCGACCGTACATTTTGTTATCCAAAATAATGTACTCATACATGAGGGGCATGCCCCTCTTTTATCTTATCGATAAAGTCACGTGTGACACCTGGCACGCTGTGCCAAGAATTACCTGTTGAGGTAATTCTACCAGACTCTCAGTCTTTTGCCAAGAATTCCTTCTTTGGGCTGCGGTCAGTCTCTGACCGCCCACGTACGAGGGGCAATACCGTACGAATACGCGTACGGTGCCGTTCGGCCGCGCTAACGCACGTATCCGGCCAATGGCCGGCGGTACCTCCCGCTGTCTGCGGGTCCCTCCCGGTATCCCAATTTCCCCCAAAGGGGTAAATTGAGACTCAGGCTCAAGTTTTTGGGGCAATGTTATATATCCGGTGGATCCCAAAAAGTTAACCAATCATATCCAATCTCGAAAACTGCTTGAACACCACCTTGGGTCAAATATATATATTAAAACATGCACTCAACACCAATCCAACATATAGCAACGACAGGGCTTCGCCCCCCGGGCTTTGCAATGTAACTTCGTATGCCTGCGTCCCAGTTTCTCGGATCATCCTCGTAATTGCACACTCAGATTGAAGGGACCTCATGAAAAACGGCACTTAGCGATTTAGACTCTGCTGTGTGAGAGATCCTTTGATTAATTTGACTCCAATGGAACCCTTTTTGGAGCCAGGGTGAAACAATCTCGGGAGAAACTGTAATCATCGTCGCTTGTGTCATAAAGCTCCATATCCAGTTGTCGGAAAAGCGCAGCAATAGTAATCTATAAGTCTGCATATGCCAGACTAAGCAATGTTAGAGCCGAGGAATTTTACCTGAGCGCGAAACCTTGCCTACTCCCTTTTATAAAAGAAACCATATATTTGTCTAAGCGTTAGCCTTTCTTAGAAGCCGTCTAACGACTTGTATTGAACTTTTCGGGTTTCGGAATTACGGAAGAATTCATGTTCATAAAGTAAGTCGCTGTGCTCATTGGAGTTTGTACTATACACGAGAATAGACAGAATTGGCTAACTATAAGTTTCACTGTTAATGCACTAGTTGCGAACGTGAGTCAACCCTGGTAATTATTCAAGGTATCTCTCCATGGATCTTGGTTACTAGTTACTACCTCTGGGGGATTGCATAAAACTGCATTTCATTTGACCGCTAGGTCAAAAGATTATAACCGAACCTAGTACGGTTGGAGTTGTCTGTATATAGCAGTATGTATTCTAGGCCCTAAGAAGCTAAAGTGATCACAATATCGACTTTATTCTACCCGGCAAGAAATGGCGCAAGATCAACAAATGGCATCTAGAACCAAGAAAATCCCGGAAAAAGAGGGTTTCCACCTGTGGGGGGGTTCAGAAAAAATGGAGGAAAATACCTAAAAGCCAAGGAGAGGTGCCTAAGTACAGCACAGCTTTCTAGACGTGATCCACTATCTTTACATTGTACTTTGGTTCATGCAGCTTGACAAATGCATACGGGGTGTATAGAGACACGGAGACTATAAGACAGCCCCTTAGACGATGTATTTCGTACTTAAAGGCTTACCTCCGTACCAAAAGTCCTGATCTTTTCAAAATCCCAAGCAGGAGTGGAAAAATACTGGCTCATATCGCAAAATGGGTGCTATCCAAGTAGAATGCCAAGGATGGAACTAGACAGCAATTGGTTCAAAGGTATGGGGGCATGGGGTAGCCTAGTGGTACCTGGGCAGATCCGTGGACCTATCTGCATCAAGCCCACACCACGTTTACAGATGCAGGTGTGCAATTTCTGCTTGAAAATCTTCTGTCGGAGTGCGTGTCACGCATAATTCCCTTATTCCGAGATGTCATACCACATCTGCCGCCATGAGAATTTCCAATAAAGGAAAAAGACCTTGATCGAGACCTTTACTAAGATCCATTAGTGCCGGTCAGGGTCGTCATAGTCGGTTTCGACCGGGCTGACAGGAGATGGCAAGAGGCTTATAAAACAAGTCGCTTTTCAGCCCGAATTTTCTCTCCAGCACCGATTATCGACATCATCAACATCGTCCAGCGACTTTCTTTGCCATCATGAGCCACCTGCGTCCACTTAGTTTGCCTAGTAGCGGCGTTGCTTTCGTTGCTGGTGCCAACGGAATCACTGGTCATGCCATTGTTGAATATCTTACTCGGCGGCCCGAAACCGAATGGTGAGAGATCTCGAATTCCTTGACATAGGACCCCTCAGATGGCTTTGTCTTTTTCTAACTAGAATTTTGGGGAAAAAAAGGTCGAAAATCATCATCACCTCACGCAGGCCACTCAACGCTCGCTTCACCGATCCCAGGGTTGAGTTCATTGCCCTAGACTTCTTGAACTCTCCAGCAAGCATTGTGGAACAGATCAAAGAACTCTGTGGAGATGTCACGCATGCATTCTTCACCTCGTATATCCACAACAACGACTTCTCTAAACTCCATGAGAAGAACGGCCCCTTGTTCCGAAACTATCTGGAAGCCGTGGATCAAGCTTGTCCGAAATTGCAGCGTGTTGTTCTACAGACAGGTGGAAAGGTACGCTGTGATCCTTCGATTTGCCGGAATCATTCCTTTGCCCCAGGTCTCAAAGATTGCAATCTCTAATTCTTACTTAGCATTATGGAATTCAATTTCGAGAGATGACATCCCCACTCGTGGAAGAGATGCCTCGATATGATGGACCTGAATCCATCTTCTACTACGAGCAGGAGGATGACATGTTTGCTATCCAAAAGCGTCGCCAAACCTGGAGCTACAATATCATTCGTCCCATGGGAATTATCGGATATGCCTCTCAGTGTACGGCACCCCAAATGTTTTCATTACTATGTGGCTGACGCAATGAATAACAGACATTGGCATCAACGAGGCTCTTCCCATTGCTCAATACTTCCTCATTTGTCGTGAGCTCGGCGTGCCTCCCAAATGGCCAGGAAGCTTGAGGAGCTACCTTCGGGTCGAGATCCAGTCTTGCGCCTCAGGCATTGCCGACTTGACCGTGTGGGCTGCTACCCAGGACTGCTGCAAGGATGAGGCGTTCAATCACAACAACGGCGATGTGATAGTCTGGAAGTTCCTTTGGCACCTTCTGGCTGACTACTTCAACGCCCCGCTAGGCTCGAGTGAGCCCACAGAAACCACTGAACCCATGGACATGCTTGAGTGGGCCAAGGATAAGCGCCCTGTTTGGGAGAGCATTGTGGCCAAGAATGGCGGTGACTCCGACGCTTTCCAGCTAGACTCGTTCGCCCTGATGAACTGGTACATCACACCTAGCGTGATGAAGACACCATTCATTAGCACCGTGCGCAAGGCGAGAAGCTTTGGCTGGACCCGTCACGATGACACTTACGACACGTGGCTGAAGACCTTCAAGTCCTACCAGAATGCTGGTGTCTTGCCTGCTCCCTAGACTGGGAGTGGCATATTCGATAGCTCTCGGTATAGCTAGAAGAGGGTTTCTTTATTTGAAACAAAAGCATGCAGTCAGATTTCCCGCAAGGTTGAAGTACTAATCTGAATGGCAACTCGCACATATATCAGCCTAGCGGCTGGGTGAGAATGGTCGAGGGCAATGTACATAGCATTTCACTATCGTATTCGACATAGACAAAACCCCATCTACTCTATTCCCTCCTCCAGACAAACCTCCCCAACTTCCCCAGCTTCCCCTGTCCGCTCCATCTGCTTGCGCCACAGCAACGCCAGATAATCCGATGAGGTAGCCTCATCAATAGATTTATCTTCACGAACCTTAATAAACCGTGGAAATCGCAGACTCAACCCGCGCTCATCGCTAACCAGCCCAATGGCAGCCGGGTACGTAGGACTGAGCGTGATATCCGCGAAAGCCATTTCCCATACTTCACACGGCTCAAACCACACATCTGGTTCGCCAGGATACTCCACGTAGCTGGGGCGCGAGATGACGTTCGTGCTGCCATGCGCGTACTTTTCTTTGTTGCTTTGGTAGAATTTGTCCGTGAACCCGGACATGCATTTCGTTACGGCTTCTAGGGTTCCCGTTTCCGGGTTGCGTACTGCTAGTAGGATCGGAGACCACCATTTCGCTTTACGGCCTTGGCCGTGCCATCCGGCTATCGGGATCAGGTCGAGGGTTTCGGAAGAGGTGCTGTAGTCCTTTTTAACTTTGAGCCAGGATTCGAGGCGTTTGTCTGGTTCGTAGGTTGAGAGGAGGGCTTTGCGTCGGGTGGGTTTCTCTTTGGGTTTTCCATGTTGGTTCGGTTGCTCGGTGGTTGTAGTGGCCGTTTCGTAGGGGAGGTTGTTGTTGACCTGACTGTTCGCACTGGGCTGGTTATCGAGGAGTTTAACCATGATTCCCTCGCACTTGACATCGATAGCAGATTTGAAAAACTCAAGGACAGTCTCGGAATCCGCTGATGTCGCATCCATGCTCTTCACCCAACCAAAGTGTTTTGGAATCTCTACAAAGAGGCTGCGAAGTAGTTCGCGGCGTTCTCGAAAGGGGCGATCTAGCAAAGGTTCGCCGTTGAGATACATGAGGTCGAATGCGAAAAGACAGACATTGATTTTGATGTCTCCGATTTCAACGTTCTTCTTTGCACGATTGGTCAAGACTTGGAATGGCTTAAGATCGCCAGTCTCACGGTCCACGGCAACTACTTCTCCCTCCAGGATAAAGCTGGACACACCTTCTCCCCGTATTTGCGGGACCAGGGAGACTAGATCTGGGTACTTCTCCGTCATGAGTTCCAGATGGCGCGAGAAGATAGAGACTTTCCCTTGCTCGTCACAGTGTACCTGCGCACGTTGCCCGTCATACTTGTACTCGCAGCTAAAGTCTCGGCCTTGGAGCTTTGTCAACATTTCCGACAGATCGCGTGTGATGCTGCCCAGCATCGGCCGTAGTGGGATGTGCATGGTTAGTCCGCATCTGGCCAAAAGCTCTTCTGTGGGCCCAATCTCTAATAAGCAGGGCACCATATCATTGTAATTAGGATGTCTAGCGTATGACGCTTTGACGATTT